CTTAAACCACCAGATTACAGATGGGGCATAAGTACATAAAATTAGATTGTTAGTAGCTTTGCCTTGGAGGAACAACTTTGTAAGATAGGTAATTGTTTTCTTTTTAATAAGTGACAACTGGGGAAGTATATATAGTTACTGGAGACAAATTATTTTCTTTTTGAAATAGTTTCAGGAACAACTTGGAGAGTTAACGTATGTCTTATAAAATTATTTTATTTATTTATTTATTTATTCATTCATTTATTTATTTACTTTTTGGTACCGGGGATCAAACTCAGGTCCTTGCGCTTGCACAGCAAGCGGCAAAACCACTGGACTAAATCCCTGGCCCATGAATTATTTATACTTTTTATCAAAAATGTGTTTTCTCTGTTGACCTTTAAAAAATAAACATGAAAATCAATATATTAATAAAGAAACAGTTTCACTGATAAAACAATCATGAACATACTTTCCAAGGAATGAAATATGGGAAAGAAAAAGTGCATGAAAAACAATTGACTTAAAACTGTTCTCTATGTGTAATGAAATGAAATTGTGTGCTTCCCAAAAATTTAGGGAGTAGCATACAACACTCCCTCTACTCTGAGAGATACGCATTGAAAACTACAAATGAATTAATTCTTCTGAATGCAAAAAACATCTTGCTATTCATCTATAACAAAAGAATTCAAAAAGTAAAGCATACAGGTATAGCCACTGAAGCATGAGTAACAAAAATTTCAAGTTCTGGCTTTGTCACTCACACACTGCTTTATTTCAGACAAAGCATTTAAAGAAGATCTTAAGATTCAAAAAGTTAAAATAATGTTCACTCAAAAATGGTTAAAACTTCTGTCGGGTGTGATGGCGCACGCCTATAATCCCATTACTCAGGAGACTGAGACAAGAGGATCCCCTCAAGTTTGAGGCCAGCCTGGTCTACATAGTGAGTTCATGGCCAGCCTGCACTACATAGTGAAACTTTGTATCAATAACCTCCCCCAAATACTTTATTGGAGTCTGTGAAATGTAACAGTATGTAATTGTCTTGAAATGGGAATGCCAGCACTGCAGTATGTGGAAATAAATTACTTATGAATGAATGAACAATGGCTACACAAATTGCTAACAACTAAAACAACAGAGTAGTAAAGAATTCCTAATATAGTGAAAAAGAGAAAGTGATGCTATACAATGACTTTTCGCATCTCAGAAGACAAAGCTAATAAGCCCTTAAGTGAAGTTTACATTTACTTTTTGGCAGCAACAGGAAACAACTATTTATTTTAGCTACATATTTACTTCTAGGGGTTTCCGCCTGATTTTGTCACACTGTAACAGCTCTGGACTTCTCATTTTTTTAACCATACCACTGAGCTAAATCCCCGGACCAACAATATAAAGTAGTATATAGAATATGAATTGAGGATTAAGATTTATTCAGTAGTAAATAAACTTTTCCTATTTCAGTTTACCTACTCAATTAAGATTCTCATCATAAAATACAATGTACATCATGAATTACCCATTTCGAGAAAAAGTAGTAAATAGGCCTTCTATTGTAAATTCATCCAGCATGAGCTTCCTCCATGAAGGTTTGTACTTCTGTCTAACAAATTTAATAATTAACTCTATTTAAGAGTATTAAAGGAACACAGAGAGAAATAGTGAGAGCTACACTTGCTAATTCAACAGTACCCCAGGTTCTAAATCTAAACCCTAAACTTGGCAATAATTCTGCAAGTAACAATGAGCATCAGATATTCACAGGTCCGGTCAGGTCAGGTCAGGTCAATCCGATCCAATCCGATCTGATCCGGCCTATGGTAGAAGCTATATACTTACAAGTTAGTGTATACTTTGTGTCAGCCTAATGACAGGAGCATAGGAAACTAGCAAAATACAGATGGTAACATCTTTTCTCTTGATTCTGTGTTGAGTGCATGTCAAGTCTATTTTTCAGAAAACAGAATGAACTATTTTTCAACTGTGCTTTAGAATTTCATTTTTAATAATATAACTTACTGCTTATTTTTTATGGTACAGCTCAAAAGTAAATAACCAGGTGTAAGTAGGCAACCACTATTATGTATTTGTGCTATAACATGACATTACTTGCTCAATTGTGTTCTCTGGACCACTTGCAACTTCCTTCATAAATGCATTCACTTTTCTCACCCAAAATAGTCTCTTAGAAGAAAAAGTGAATATTCAAGACATGAGGGTATGTTTCAGCATTATTAATCACTCTGCCAAAATATTCCATGATGGAGGCCAAAGAAAAGTTATGTTGTTGGTTAAGAAGAAGATAAAGTTAGAAATCTAAGACTGCTCAATAAATTTGATACAGGCTGAAAATAAAAAGCAGGAAAAAAGATTATGGAAAGATATTAGAAAGAAGTAAATATGAAAAATAAAAAAGCCAAACATTAGAAAAGAAGATAATACAGAGGTTAGAACAGAAGGTGAGGTATTCTCTAATATTTTGCAAATGTTTATAAAGTAACTAGGCAATAAGCACATCTCACTTTAGAAAGTAAAAGTATTTTTTGTAGAAACCAAATATTTTCGAAGTACCCTGAAAGCTTTAAAAACAATCACCAACCAACTAAACTCAAAACCAAATCCTCCTCTTCAGCCTTTTCAAAAGTGTATTTTATGTAATACAAATTGTCAATTCTGAATTTAACTGCTTTAAAATTTTAGATTCTCTACCACAAATTTTCATAAAATAAGGCACACATGTAAAATGTCATTATTAGAAAAGGTAATTTAAAATTTGCTATTACATAAGAAAATAATAACCCTCCAGGTGAAGCTCTAAAGATATACTTAGTATAGCTAGAATTATACTTAATAAGAGCATATACTATCCCTTTATCACCAAAGGCTGGTCAGAAAATAATTGGTAAATATTCTATATGGGACATCAAGCATAGGTCCTTATAAAATTCATTAGCAAAATAGCTTTTACAGGCACACAAATACTTGTGATTAATTCCAAATTAAAAATTCCTTCTTCCTTCTATAGTCCCCTTATATACATCTATTATTATAGAACCATTATTACAGTTCAGTAGTTCCATCTGCTACAGAGAATGGACAGTAGAGAATAGACTGAAGTTGTCTACTCTATCTTAAAGAGCAGGAAAAATGGCCAGTATTACAATAAAACAAAAGGCCTTAAAAAAAAAAAAAGATCAAAATAAATCATTTTGGAACTCACTGTTCAAGTAATTTAGGTGGAAGTTTTCTGAGGCAGTGGCACAGACAAATAAGGCATAATAAAGGACACTGATGCAAATCACACAAGGGATACTTGAAAAATACAATGAATGTTTAAATTAAAAATAAAAAACTTTTTTACAGTATAAGACACATTGCCAAGAATGAAGGGGGAGAAGTGTGTTCAAAGTGAGAAAGAGTAATATTACTATCCTGAGGGGATTAATGGCAACAAGTCTTTTCCTGTACTAAAATTTTATTAAATATTCACCGTATTTTTTTTTTTTTTTGGCACCAAGGATCGAACTCGGGACCTTGCACTTGAGAGGCAGGCAGTGGAACCACTGAGCTAAATCCCCAGCCTTTCACCGCCTGTTTTGATCACCCCTCACTGATTAAACACTTGTGGCACTTTCTGCTAAATGAAAACACTGTGTAGTGCCCTCATCTAACTTATTCACCAGACCTGGCACCATTCAATTTTTGATTCTTCCTCAATGTCAAAATGATCATAAAAGGTAAACATTTTAAATCAATTGAGGACATCCAGGCAGCCATGACAACATAACTAAAAGATACTCATTAAAGAGGACTTCCCAGGGCTGCTTCAGAAAGTGGCAAGAACTGTGGGATATGTGTGTTTGAAGCGATGGGAAGTAATTTAAGGAGGATTAGTGGCAATATGCAATAATAAGTTTTTAAAAATATAAACATTGGATTTTTGAATTATACTTCATATACATGTGTGTACATATACGTATATTCCCTATAACCAAATGGCAGGAGTCCCTAGCATACTGACAATTTTCCAAAAATGAATTAATATTAGAGTGTGATATATACAACCTTCTCTGTCATACCTCACTCTACTCCATGGAGATGACTTCTTAATTCATCAACTCCATTTTAGTTACACTTTAATCTATTAAAAAAAACTTTATATAACCTGACAAGCAGAATTAAAACTTGGGTCCAAAAAAACCAATTTTTACATCTCATAGTAATTTCATTTTGAAAGAAAAAAAAAATCTTTCTTATTACTAGTTCACTGAAATGGTTTGAGTTAAAATTAAGATCTATAAAAACAAAGGACTCATAATTTTAGAGTTTACAAACAAGTACAAAGTTATACATTATAAAACTATACTACAATAACATAGCAACATTTAAAAAAATTGTATCACTTTACATTATTACTGATGATTAGCTCTTTTAAATTTTCCATGTACATATTTTAATAAAAACATTTAAGCAAGCAGTCAACACATTAAAAGTTAAGCCAAAGAATTGTTTTCTACTTACTTGTAATGTTATTTCAATTTATTTACTTATTTTTGGTATCAGGGATTGAACTCAGGACACCTTGTGCTTACGAGGCAGATGTGGTACCACTAAGCTAAATTCCCAGCCCCTTCAATTTATTAAGAAATAGATACAGATATGAAATTTTACCTTTTATCTTAAAAATGAAAACAGTTCATACCAGAAGGTGGTACTTAGAGTAATATAAAGACTCTAGAGGTCTGGTCAGGAATGATTCCTCCACAAGACAGTATATCAGCATCTCAGTATTTTGAAGTTACCACAATACAAAGGAATGTTATTTCAATATATTCAAAATAAAAATGCAACTTAATGCATTTCTCTCTCTATTTTTCGGTCTGAAGCTCTAAGTTTCAAATCTTTCTCTTAAAGTTTTAGCTTCTGAAATAAAGACACTTAGAACAGAACTCTCCACCAAAAACTCTGGTAGCAAATTAAACTAAAAATGCAGCATATGCTTCACATACCTTCTTGAGATGTCCTAGTCTAAGTTTGAAAATTTCTTCCTGTTCATGATATTCTGCCAAAGTCAACCTGTCAAAAGTAACATTTTAACTCTATATTTTGATATTAATACTTATTATTTACTAACAACTAACAAAATATAGTAAAATTGACCAAATGGGAAATAATAAAATGCTGACAACTTTAAGCCAAAAATCCTTCACAATATTCTTCAGAATACATTTAATACTTATAGATGGAGCAATTAACTAATTGAACAACCATTTGATAAATACCACACATCAAGTGATATTCCAGAATTTAGATATAGAGAATATAATTTAGATATAAGGATATAGAGAAAACAAGATAATTTCTCCTTACATTTTGGTTTGGGTTTACAGTCAATAGTGAGGTTAAGGACACAGGAAAAAAACAACTTAATGATAAAATAATTTTAAGTAAGTGTTACAAAGAAAAAAAGGGTGGTTTGATAGTGGCTATTATTGCTAATTTGTCCTAGTTGTTAGGCAATCATAAGAAGACTTTGGAGCGGCAACACTCTAAGACCAAGACACTCAGCATTTAAGAAAACAAATGAGAACGTGGGGAATGGAGGAAACAAGACTAGTTCACCTTTGAAATTTTCAAAACAACTGGGATAAATAAAGGGAACACCCTCAGTATTCTGCAAGGCATTTATAAAAACAGATAACTGACAGGAAACTTAATGGTAAAAGATTAAAGATTTCTCCTTAAAATCAGGAATGAAACAAGCACGCCCACCTTAACAAGAGCTATTCAATATGGTACTAAAAGTCCTAACAGAGCATTTAGGTGAGGGGAAAAAATGCATACAAACTGTAAGGGAAGAAGTAAAACTATCCGTATTCACAGATGACATGATTCTTTATGTAGAAAATTCCAAAGAATGCACAAGAGGGAAAAAAATATTACAACTAATAAACTCAACATGGTACAACAGTGTCTTTCAATATACAAGAAACGAACAACCTATAAAGGATATTAATAAAAAAAATTCCATCTATAATAGCATGCAAGTGAATAAGATATTTAGGAATAAATTTAATACAGGAATTGAAAGACTTGTATACAGAAAACTACAAAATACTGTATTGCTAAAGAAATTAAAAGATGGAATAATTAAATGAAAAGTTATCCTACGTTCATGATTTGAAAGATTTAATATTATTATGAAGACAATACTCCCTAAAGTGAAAAATTTAAGTTATAATTTGTATTCTTATATTAAAAATTCTGCACAAGTCAAAGCCTAGTTCCCAGTAGATGGTGATTCAAAGTAAGTTTTTAGAAACAGTTGCCAAGAAAGCTGCTAAACTTTATTTTTTAAAAAAGCATTTCTTCACCTGTAAATCCCAGCACTCTAGGAAACTAAGGCACGAGGGTCATAAATTCAAGCTCAAGGGAGCTGGGGATGTAGCTCTCTCAGCACTATGGCCCTGGGCTCAATCCCCAGTCCTGCAAAATAGGTATGTAGCAGAGCATTTCTTAAACTAACTATAGTATTGGAGTGCAAGTGCTTCTGTGGCCTTCTCCCTATTTAAACGTGCGTTTTTAAAAAGACAATTATATCACTTAGTATCAATCACATACCAGTATCACTACAGCATGAGTTGTAAGTCAACACATGCAATAAAATGAGAAGGGAATGAAATAGGACTATGATTATTCAATTATAGGTACAGCTGTGACCACCTTGGAAGAAAAGTAGGAAACAAAACACCTATGACAAACCAGAAAAATGGTCTAACCAAGGAAAACACGAAATTCAATTAAATGCTTATGTACTGTCATTTAGTATTTACTGACCACTTCCTTATGCCAGGAACTATGCTAGATATTGAGAGTACAGAGATAAATTGTGATATACAAGTAATGCTACAATATAGACAGGAATGTACAAAAGGTCATAGGTACCTAATCTTCAGGGAAATGAGGATAAACAAGGAAGAAAACGATTACATATTAGATTTGAGAAAAACTTAAAAGAATAAACAAGAAATCAGACAGATGAAAAAAGGCAAGGGACAACATGAACAAAGGCACAGAAACCAAGAAATTACAGCCCATTTAAAGAACTGACAATTTAACATGGAATACACATGGAGGAATGAGGCTAAAGAAAAAAGGAGATTTATGAAAGGTCTTCAGGTGGGTGAATTTTATTTGAAAGTCACTGAAGAAGCTTAAGTAAAGTGACATGATGAGACACGCAAGAAATAGTAATAGATGTTAAAAGAAGTGAAGTATTATACTAAGACAGTGGGTATATAAATGAAGAGAAAGGGATAGTTATGAAAATGTTATGGAAACGGATGTGGACAGTGAGGGAAAATTAAACACCGAAGATGACTCCTAGATTTCTGGTCTCATTAAATGAGCAGATGAGATAGAGGGTACAACAGCAACTCCTCAAAGTGATCGTTAACGTCTATCCTTCAGGAGTTAAGAAAAAAGGTTTCAGTAAATCCTTTTTATGAAATAAAATAAAAGATAACCAGAAATTAAGACCATGAGTTTTGAGTTTAAAAGTTGGCCATGAAGGGGAGGTACTGACCAATGGGCAAAGATGAGGCTAGACAGATCAGAAGAAGCCAATTAAAAGTACTTCATAAGCCATATTGTGGCCCTTAGATTTTATCACTTAAGTAATCAAGAGCCATATTAGGGTAAAAGGAAGAGAATTCAGAAAAAATGACTGACTGACATGAAAATGGATTATAAGACTAGACCAAGGTTGAAAAGTGAGGATATAAAAATAACCCAAGTTGGGTTAAAAATGTAGTTCAGGGGTAGAGTGTCTAGCAGGCACAAGCCCCTAGGTTCAATCCCCAGCACCAAAAACAAACACAAAACACTCAAGTTACTTGAGTTGAAATGGAAACTCACATAAAGTGTAAGTGAACAGATCTGAGATAAGGAAGCACTGGATATCTATAGAGGTCAGTTTAAAGCTAACACATTTTCTTTTAATACAACCATTCACTTGCCCACTCATTCGCATTTTTTAAAAAGCAACACATTTACTAATTTACAAAAAGTAAATCATTTGCTAACCCCAATTTTTCCTTTACTAAGGGCCAGGGATTTAGCTCAGTGGTTCCACCACCTGCCTCACAAGTGCAAGGACCAGAGTTCGATCCCCAGTACCAAAAAAAAATTTTTTTCCCTTAACTATTGATAGCCAAATGTTTTAATTACAACTTACAACAATTCAAGAGAAATTAGGAAAGGCTTAAAGAAGAAATTAGATTATGAAATGGATTTTGAAAGACAAGATTACCATCTCTTACTCATGAATGGATTAAGAAAGATCAATGGAGGGGTGGATCTTCCAATGCTGAACCAACACTGCCATCCCTATAATAAAACAACTTTCTACATACGGCCAGATCTGACTTCTAATAGTTTGTCTTGTTAAACAAATTTCTATCTATGTTCATACTTTTTTCTTCTATTATCTTTATCCAGTTTTAGGGTTAGCACAATGTTGATTTCCTAAAATGAGGGGAGAACTGTTCCTTTTTTTTTCTGCTTTAAATGTTTGATATAATTTATCAGTTAAAATGTATACGACCCTGTTGCTGTCATATAGGTAGGTTTTCAAGCTAGGAATATACTTTCTTTAATAGGTGCTATTCAAATTTTATATTTCTTCCAGAGTTAGTTTCATTAATTTGTCTTCCAAGGTACTTCTTAGAAGTTGTCAAATTTATTTCAAAACAGATCTTTGAAATATGCTTTCTATATCCTTTTAAATTCTGTAAAATCTGTGGTAATGTCTCCTAGGTCTTGATATTTTAATTTAAAAATGTATAATTGATATTGTGCAATAGGAAGAAAAGGTCTAAAGGGGTAGGGGAAGTGGGAGGGGTAGGGGAAAGGAAAGAAAGGAAAAGAAAAAATATGAGAAAAGGAAAAAAATGGAAACAAAACCTTTGCAAATAGGGAAGGGTGGAGGGGCTGAAGAGAGGGTGGGGGAAGGGGAAAAAAAAAAAAGAACCAAGATACTCATGTAATGGTACAAGATCCCAAAGATGTATGTAAATGTATTTTATACCTAAAATGTACCAATAAACTTAATGGGGAAAAAAAAAAAGATCAATGGAATCTATGGTGACAACCAGAATTCTGGAAGAAAGGGTGATAGTGACATTCATTAGTAGAGGGCAAAGGAAAGAGCAAAGAAAAGGGGTCAGGTAGGTGTGTGGAGAGAATCACATGGAGAAGATAAATGATGTGTAACTAAGGGAAAATTTACCTTATTTTCCTTCTCTCTCCCTCTCTTTCTCCCCCCCTCCCCTCCTTCCTTCTTTCACAAAATGTTTTCTGAAAAGAAGGAACCAGTAGAGGGCGAAAGTCTGATGTAAGATAAAGGAAATATCAATAGAAGTCCCTAATGTAGTAGAGAATGGGATTCAAAGCAGTATGTTTCAACAGAGGAGAAAAGAATATATCCACACAAAACATCAAAGGGCACATATATTTTCTACGCACATAAATGTATTCTTCTAGAACTGACAAGTTAGATAAGTTTGCATGCATCTGTACAATGAAATTTTTTTTTTTTTGGTACCAGGGATCGAACTCGGGTCCTTGCGCTTGCGCAGCAGGTGGTGAAACCACTGAGCTAAATCCCCGGCTGTACAATGAAATTTTAACAATGGTGTTTTTTGTGGGATAGATTGTGGCCCATCATTTTATTAAACTCTTCCATATTTTCCAAATTTTCTAAAGGTATAATTAATACAGAAAATTCAAAAAACAAAGAAAGCATTAAAAGAAAAACAATACCCATGACCTCTCAATAAACTGCTCTCTCAGGTTGAGAAAATACATGTCAGTTGCATTACTGAACATTCTCTCAGAAAAAGGAACATTAATGGGAATACTGAATTATAACAATCAAAACTCCAACTCTGCTTCTAACATGAGAGGGTAGAGTCTAGTTTCTAATTAAAAAGGTAGAAGTCACATATTTGGGGCTTATTAATTTAGAGCTAATTTACACTTACGTGTCTTTCTTTCTGTCCATAACTAGTTTTGCTTTATGAGTAGTAATTTAATTATAAATAGCATCCATTACTAACATTCAGGCTCTCCACTAACAATATGAAAAAAGGACAATTTAAAACAGAGGCTTACAGTTGTGGTAAATTTGGTCTAACAAAGGGATCATTTTCTGCTCCATTGACTGCTTTGTTTTTTCTTTGTTTTGGTTCAGAATTGGTAGAAGGTGCCTGAGAATTATTAGCTGCGGGAGGTTTGCGTTTGGCTAAAAGTTTTCTTTGCCTTTCAATATCTTCCCTTTGCTGATTCACCCATTCTTGTTGCCTGTGTAAAAATGAACAAGTAAAAACCATATTAAGATTCCATTACTTTTCACAGTTACAACATGAAAAAATAAAACCTAAGAAAACATGGAAAAATCACTTAATATAGACTTGTAAGCTTTTGGTCCTTTTCTAGTAAAACAACTTATACTCATCTTTCAGATCTCATTTGAAACAATCGTGAGGTATTCCCTAAACTCCTGAACTAGGGAAAGGTACCTCATGGTACCTTGTCATTACCTCCACCTTTCTCACAAATATCATCTACAAATATTTGACTTCAATATTTGATCAGTGTACTAATAAGAAGAGACTCCTTAAGAAGAGACTTCATTTTGTCTCCTATTGTATTACCCCTAGCATTGTGATCAATATATATTAGATGTGCTCAATACATATTTGTTGAATGAAATGAATGAATGAGCTAAAAAAAAACCCCTAAATCAAACAGTATAGATTTTATACATTCATCACTTTATATTTGCAGACAAGCTTACAAAAAGATAAGATAATATGAAAAGTATAATTTGCTAAATTTATGTTAAAAAATTCTGGGAATGAGCAGTCAATATTTTGAAATGAAACAAAAATTGACCTTAATGTAAAAAATTTAGGGGAAAAAATGAATTTTGATAATTTAAGGAACATTAGAATAATGAAATAGCAAGAATTTGAAAATTTGAAAAAATGAGCAGTTAATAAATGTAAAGTCATTAACAATTCTCATTCAAAAATCTAAAACAATTTTCCAGAGCTACTAATTCTAAAAACTAATAGATATTATATCTAATATCATACAACAGTTTAAGTTTATTCTAGTAGTAACTAACCTTTTAGGTTACCTCACTATAAGAAGAAAGATTTTTTTCTTTGTTTTTTTAAGACAGGGTCTCGCCATGCAGTTCAGGCTGGCCTTGAACTCACTATGTAGCCTAGGCTGACCTCTTAATAACTTGCAGCAATCCTCCTGCCTCAGTCTCCTGAGTGCTGTGGATTACAGGCAGGCGCCACCATGTCTGGCTGAAGAAAGATTTTTTAAAAACCCTACATGGTTATAGTATTTAGATTTAGAGCAAGTCAAATGTTTTATTCACACCTACCTCCACCTTCAAACCAGAAACTACAGAGTGCCTCCTCTGCTGTTGCAGAAGTGGCCTGGCATACATTCCTTCCCTATAGTTCTAGTGAAGGGGTAGCAGAATATGACAAAAATGAAAGAATCAACAAGAACTGACACAAAAGAAGAAGACAGTACATAAAAAGCAAGAATAGCAAAGTAAAAATAAGATTCTAATCCAGTTTACATTGGGGAGGGGGAAAAATAATTTCAATTACTAAAAGAGCAAATTTTAGAGCTGGTGATGTAGCTCAGTGTTAAAGTACTTGCTTACCCAAAAAAAAAAAAAGAATAATAGTGAATGTTAAAGCTATTTTAGGGTAAAATCAAGATTCTTGCTATATAGATAAATAAACAGCCTTATTAAAATCCTAAAAGAAAGTAAAGAATTAACAGAATGAATATACGGTTGTAATTCGTTAATCTGAAATGATCACTCAGTTTAGAGATTAATATGATTAATTTTTATATATTCATTTCTCCTTTCATATTCCAACTACTTTCAGTTATATCACTGATTATAAACAGTATGACATAATATATATAACAATATATGTGCACATTAAGTCCAATAAATGCTTATTAGTGATATTTAAAATGTTACTAATTTTTATTTTCTTTGACATCTTAATAAAGTTAACTACTGGGAGAATTAATATTTTAGACCATGCATATTAATTTTGCAACCCTCTCTTTTATTTCTTACAGAACAATTGCTGGCCTGGGCTTAGTAGCAGAGGTTCTTGCTCACAAAACACTAAAAATAATGGTTTCTATCGCAAACTCATTTCCTGCTCTCTACTTTTACAGTCAGTCTTTTAGCTGAAGCATAATCACCTAACATCTGCATACCTCTCCATCTTAGCTGTCAACAATTTATCCTCTTCCCAATACCCACATTGCCATCAGAGCCATCTATAACTCAACTCTTATCACACATAACATGTAAGTCTTTAATAGTTCTCATTATTCACAGAATTAAACTCGAAGTCCCAAGCATATCAAGAACACTGTCCTTCACTGTGGTATACATAATCTAGCATAGTTATGCTGAATAAAAGCTCAATAAATCTATTGAGAGAAAGTCATTCTGTGCCAAGTCCTGAGAAAGTGTTTGAAGCAGCAATGTTGATGTAATACTACATGAAATAACTTTGCCTCTGTTTTCCAAATGGGATTGCCTGGAAAAGCTGATGTGGACAATGATACTACTCCTGCTTTACAAATTTTCCAGCAAGGAAAATAAAATAAAAAGGAACAGCGCAAGTTCTGGCTTCTTAATAAACGGCCAACCTATTCTTACCTATCACTATCTAAACTCAAGGAAATGTAACAATTTCTTTGTTTTAAAGTTACCATTGAAATATTAAAGCCACATGATCAGTAACATTAATGAGTTATTACATCTTAGGCAAATGAGAAAAGTTCTTTCCTTAGGATAGAGGGCAGGGAAGAACTGAATACTAACACTTAAAGACTGAGGAATGGGAAAAATATAGAAAGCCAAGCATGTGGCTATAGTCCTAGCACTCAAGAGACTGGGACAGGAGGCTTTTAAGTTTCTTAAGTCCAGAAACTTGAGACCAGTTTGGGCAACATAGCACGATCCCACCTCCAAAAAAAAAAAAAAAAAAGTAAGTAAAGAGAAAAATCCCAGGACATACACATGCAGAGCTTCTAAAGAACATAAAATTGTCAAGAATTTTCATTCCAAAATATCATATATAAAGTTAAATGGTCAGTTTATAGTTGGGAAAATCAGATTTAGAATAATACACTATATTCCATAGGTGAATGTTAATTTTCAAAAAGTCTTGTTTTGTTTCATGTTCCTTTCAAATTTGCTAAGTTCTATGATTTCAAATAAAATGTTGAACATAATTACAAATTTGTAATCTTTTAAAGTAATGCAAAACAAAGGAATACTAAATATTTAAAGAATGACTAACTTCACAAGATTCTGAAATGCAAAACCATCTGTCCATTGTTCAGTAAAGGATGCACCATGTCTAACTGTTGTAAAGTGCCCAAGGCGTAATCTATCTTGCATACTCTTCTCTCTGCTTGATAGTTTTTCTTGTGTGCTCTGAAAAAGGACAGAAAAAACCCATTAATTTTATTCATTTAAATTTTACAATGTACAAGGCAAACGGGCTAGTAAAAGGAAATCTTAGTGAACTCTGACCTTACCTTTTCAATAAGAAGTTTCTTGCTCATTGATATGCACTTATTTAATCTCTCTTTGTATTTTTCAAGTAATTTTTGTTGATCATCTATTTGCCGTCTGAGATCACAGTTAGCCTACAATATAAGCAGGAAATGCAAAAGATCTAGAATTTGTGTTCGTGAAAAGGTTAAAAATACTTTTTGATAAATTATATAGATAAGATTACAAAAAATTAAATATGACTATGATATTTAAAAAGCCTTCATAATGTGGGATAGTACTATTAAATGCTATGTATTCGCAGTTTTGAAAAGTACATAAAGTTTTATATACATACTTTATACATTCAAATCCACACCCTAAGTTATATAATATTGGCTAAGTTATCTTTACAGTTTACATCTAAAATGCTCCCCCAAAAGTCTCATGTTTAGTGGTAGGGCCTGATCAGAGTTGGCAGTTCACTGGGGCCATGACCTGGGAGTGTGTATTCTTGTCCCTGGCTCCTCCTCTCCCTCTCTCCATGTGCTTCCTGGCCACCATGATGTGAACAGTTTTCCTCTGCTTGTACTTTCATCATGTGGTTTCTCCTTGAAGCTGACCAACTATGGACTAAACCCACAGAAACTGTAAGCCAAAACATATACACACACACACACACACATACACACACACACACACGTGTGTGCGCGCGCATGCGCACATGCACACAAACACACACACACACACACACACACACCCCAAACCAAAAACCAAAACCAAACTTCTTTAAATTGTAGATGTTGGATATTTTATCCCAAGAACAGAAAAACTGATTAATACAGAAAATTGGTTCCAGGAGTAGAATTACTGGTGTGACTATACCTGATCATTTTGTTTAGAAACCTTTGTAACTGCTTTGTAGGAGGAGTGTGGAAAGGTTTGAAGATGCAGGCCAGAGAAACTCTAGAATGTTGTGCATAATATTTAATGCATGAAACTGGTCAGAGCTCAGAAGATCAGACTGCAGCCAGTAAAGGCCAGACTCAGGAGGTCTTGGTTAGGAGTTACGGACTCCATTGAGCTAGAACTAGAATTGAACTAGAGGCCATATGTGTTATGCTCTGGCAGAAAAATTGTCTACATTTTGTCTATATCTTGAGACTTTGTGGGAGACTGATATTAAAAATGGCAAACTAATCAATCTGGTGGAGGAAATTTCAAAGAATCTCAACATTCAGGATATGGCATGGGTGTTGCTGGCTGCTTTCAGCCAAGTTTTCAGTGAGAATCAAGAGCAAAAAGCAGAGCCAAATGATATGAAGCTTGGCCAGAAAGGAAGTGGCTGAAAAGATCAGCATTTAAAGAAGCCAAGTACAGTCAAAACCTGGATTACAAGTAACTTGGTCTGCAAGTGTTCTGCAAGATGAACAAACATTTCTAATAAATTTTAACTTGATAAATGAGCAAGGTCTTGCAATACAAGTAGTATGTTACACCAAATGTCACATGATCGCAAGCCTCCACCCACTTTGATATATAAGTACTTTCTTTGGATTATGAGCAGAACAAATTATTCTCCCAAACCAAGGTTTTACTGTACTTTGCACCAGGACAATAGAAAGATATCTCAGGAATTGGCCAGAGTCACTTTTTACTGGCTCAAGGTTGCAAAACTATAAAGCTTTCATTTGAGAAGTGAGTCCCTGGTCAACCTGCATAAGAAAGGCTGGTTAGGGAACTGGTTCTTCAGGATTCATTTCAGTGTCCTTGCTATCCTCAGCTATCCAGCCACTCAGAGGCCATGGGAATCATGATCCAGCGGGGCCTGGCTACTGCTTGAGTTGACAACAGACCTTGGCATCATCCAAGTGGTGCTGGTTGTCAGGCACACAGAATGCATGTATAGTCACAGGAGCTTCCACTCAAAATTTCAGAAGGCCTGGGAGGCCAGTGAAGGAGCCTCACAGAAAGCAGTGGGTAAAGCTGTGAAAGTGAAGATGAAGGTGCCACAGACACCCAGGGAATATGAAAGTGCCAGGAACATGGAATATCTCCTGAGGAAAGTTGCAACAGTGAGCGGAGCCAGCCCAAGAGAGAGTCCAAGTATACTGCAACCAACAAGGCCTCAGGGGCAGGGTTGGCCAAATCCTTTGGAACTCACATTTCACCATAACCTGGCCCAGTTGCTGGACATGGAGCTATAGGATTTAATGTTTGCTTTTCTGGGTTTCAGTCCTGCTTTGGTCCATGTTTTTTCTGTCCCTATTTTTCTCTTTTGGAATGGTAGTATTTACTGCAAGCCATTTAGGTGATGTTTAATTTTCATTTTTATAGAGGTTCACAGCTAAGAGTTTGTCTTGAGTCTCAGAGGAGAAATTGGGAGTTGAACTTTTCAGCAATGCTGGAATTATGAAGACTTCGTCAACTCTTAGAGATAAGAAATGCATTTTGCATAATGAGATGGACATTAGTCTTTGGGGGCAGTAGGGGTGGAATGTTATGGTTTAAATCTAAAATATTCTCCAAAAGTGTCATATTCAGAGATGCCACCTGGTAGGAGGGAGCTGGTCAATGGCAGCATGATGTAGAAGGGTGTATTTTTGCTCCCCTTCCTCTTTTCATTTCCTGGCTGCCATGACATGAGCAACTTTCCTCTGCCATGAACTCCACCATGCAGTTTCTGCCTGGGAGCTGGCCTCCTGTGGACTGAACCCATGTTAACTGTAAGCCAAATAAAACCTCACCTCTCTTAAGTTGCAGATACTGAGTATTTTGTCCCAGCTATGAGAAAGCTGACTAATATAGTTACCTAGATCTAAGTTCAGTTTTAAAATTTCTAAATAGGGTCTACATAACCTATCTCAGTTAAAAATAAATGAAATATGGTATATAATATGTCTAATATGAATAAATGTGTCTTCTTCTATCATTTGTAGCTAATAAAATATTTTCTCCATTCAACTTTTGGATGACACTGTAACTTGCCTATCCAATAACTATTTATACCATTTTTCGTTGGCAATAGGATACCAATTCTGATCACTTTGTAGGCAGCCATATGCTCAGAGAAGATGCATCTCTCTAACCTCTGGTAATCTGATTACTCTTGTAAAATGGTGAGAGAATAATCTGGAGGCTTTGCTGAGACATAACCTTAGAGTGTTCTGTGTCAAGTGGTCTGGGGAAGAGCCTAAGAATTTCCATTTCTAAAAAGTTCTGGAGTAATGCTGAAGCTGCTGGTAAGAAGATGGTATTTTGCGACCACAAGGCTAAGCAAATCATGATAGAAGCTAAAAGAGAGTGGCATATCTTGAAAATGCTGGGAGGAAATCACCGTCACCCTAAAATTATACATTCAATAAAACTGTTTTTTAAGGAAGAAGAAATGGAATTTTGTACCAATAGATCTTCATAATTACATATAATTCAAATAAAACTTCAACAAATTATGTGTGTGTGTGTGGTATGTATATATTTAACTTGAAAAGCAATTTAAAATCTCTAAGGCCCACAATAGCCAAATTTAAGAGGGTATTTGTTCATCCATATATCAAGATTTAATATAAAGCTATGGTGATAATATTTACTCAAATGCCTCTCGAGTAATAATCCATTGTTTTATTCTGGATACGTACCTAGCTAAATGACTATATTTCTGAGCTTTATTTGCAACTACATAATGATGGTCAATGAAATTTAAGCAAAAGAAGTTTAATGGGATATTCAAGAAGACTGTACATAGAACTGTGTTTTTTGTTCTTCTCTATTCCTGTTTTCCACTTACATCACAGAAATGATAACTATGACTCTAATACATATTTTGGACTTCGATGTGACCTTCAAAATGCAAGCCATGCATAAGATGAGGAAGAAGAACAACTAAAGGAGATAAGGTCTCATATGACAACTGAGGAACAATCATATCCGGCCTACCCACTTCTATTCTTCTAAAAGATAAATTTCAATTTTATTGAAAGTGCTGTTATTTATAGTCTCTGTTACAAAGATGACTGCTAAATGATAAAAAAGATGCTACAGTATCAGTGTAGTGACACATAAATAGAATGGAACATAACATAGAATATTAAATAAAGCCACTTGCATATGTAAACAAGATTTCATGATATCAGTGTAAGAATGGACTATTAAGTGGCATCAGATAACTGGTTATCCACATGGATAGAAATAAAATGAAGCCCTACTCTAAAAGCCCTACCCAAAATCCAATTCTAATGAGATTAACAATTTATAATTGAAAGTCAAGACTAAATAATAATTTAGGATAAACAAAGCATAAACAAAAAATATTTAATGATATAAAAATTAAAAATATATCTATTCATAAAAAGCCAGCATGATGTAATAAAAAGACAATTCACAAAGTGACAGAAAAACCAATCCAAATGACCAACAAAAACTTAGCATCACTAAAAGTCAAACAGCCTAATGAAAAAATTTGGTCAAAAATCAAATATTTCACAAAAGAAAAACAAACAGTTAATAAATATTTTAAAGGAGGTTCAAAATCAATTAGTAAATAAGAAATGTATAAGAAGACCATAAGATACTATGTTACAGCCATCAGATTAGCCAAAAAACTTTTTTTTTAAATGTTGTAATACTAAATCTTGGCAAGGATAATGAACAAAAAGTCTTTCTGGACCACTGCCTTTGGGAGTATAAACTGAAGCAATCACTTTGGGAAAAATACTAGCACCATAAAGTAAAGTAGAAGATGTACATGTCGTAGAGTACTGCCACATCTTTCCTAGGCATATACAATAGAAAAATTCTTGCACATATGCCTTAGAAAATAAGGATGGTTGGGCCGGGGATTTAGCTCAGTGGTTCCGGAGCCTGCCTCGCAAGCGCAAGGTCCCAAATTCAATCCCCGGTACCAAAAAAAAAGAAAATAAGGATGGCTGAGGGTGGTGGCACATGCCTATAATCCTAGCACTTGGGAGGCTGATGCAGGAGAATCACCAAGAGTTCAAGGCCAGCCTGTGCTACATAGTGAATTTAAGGCCAGCCTGAACTACACAGTGAGACCCTGTCTCAAAAAAAACAAAACAAAAAACAACAACAAAAAGGAAACAAAATAAAACAAGAAAATAAGGATGTACAAGAATATTTTTAGCAAAGTAGAAGTAAAATGTCAACTAAATGCAAAAATGATGTGAAAATTATGATATAGTCATATAGTAATACCTTACTACATAGCAGGAAAATAAACAATAGATATACTCATCAATGTGGGCAACTCTCATTATGACATTCAATGGAAACAGCAGGACAAATCTATACAGGATAATTTTACTTAAAGTTCAATAACAAACTGAATAGACTGTTAAGAAAGTAAAAACAGGGCTGGGGATTTAGCTCAGTGCTGGCGCCTGCCTCGCAAGCGCAAGGTTTCGAGTTCGATCCCCAGTACCCAAAAAACCCCACAAAGTCATGATAAATAAAAATTTTAGAACAATGGTTAACAGAAAAGGAGTGTAAGAGAGTAAAGGGGATGAGATCAGGAAACACAAAGAGGACATTCCAAAGGTACTGGTGAGTATGGCAGGATCACAGGTGTTGGTTTTATTGTTTCTATACCAATGGTTCTCAATTCAGGCTTAAATCAGAATAGTCTGTAGCAACTTTTAAAACTATCAATGCCCAAACTATATCATATCAAATTGATCAGAACTCCTTAAAGGTAGATTTAAAGCTATTTGTATTCCTACCCTTTCCCTCTGGTGATTCTAAAGAGCAGTAAGGGATACGAACTACTGCTTTGTACCTTACTCATATTATATAAGTATACTTTGGGATATATAAAGTTTTTACTAAAAATCTCACAGGACTGCAGCAGTTATTTCATCCTCTATGGTATCAGATGTCAGGTGGGAATATAATAAAATCAATTAACATGAAATGGATATAGGGGCTGGGGATTTAGCTCAGTGGTTCCGCCGCCTGCCTCACAAGCGCAAGGACCCGAGTTCGATCCCTGGTACCAAAAAACAAAAACTAAAACATGAAATGGATATCCATATGATGAATAGCTGATAATATGAAACAAATTTTATAAACTGTTTCTTCAATTGTTTCTTCTCAATTCACATTTAAAAAGCTAGTAAAATTCTGTTCACTTTAAAGTTGGTATTTCAATCAGGTACTTAACTAAAGCTTATTTTTTTCTAGATATAGAATACTTTTACCACATTAAGTATTTTTCTCAACAGTCTCACTGTTGCCAAATAATTTACAGTACTCAATTTTTCCCCCTCCATGACTTATTACTTACCCTGAGCAAATCATCTATACGACCTTCCTTTTTTTCCAGGTCCTGGTTTTTATTACTTTCTAATGCTGCTAATTTCAACATTGTGAGATCAGTCTAGATGAAAGAAAGCTATTTTATTATCTCTATTATGTATATTGTTACATACAAACAAAAAACTACATTTTACCTACTTCAAAAAGCAAAGGACAATATGTGAGTTTTTTGTGTATGTAAAGGGTACACTAAGCCCAAAAGGTCATAGTGTAGTTTCCAGCTTTAATAACTTCAGGAAGCTGGGTGTGGTGGTGAATGCCTGTAATCCCAGCACTTGGAAGGCTGAGGCAGGAGGATCACAGTGAGTTTGAGGCCAGCCTGCGCTACATAGTGAATTCAAGGCCAGCCTGAACTACACAGCGAGATCCTGTCTCAAAAAACCCTAAAACCAAAATCAAACATCAGAAGTATAAATGCTACAAACTTACAAAAAATGTTTACTTAGAATACTGATATGCCTCATTAAAAATATATCTACTGCTTTGTGCTGTACATTACTGGATTCTTAAGCTTTATAAAATACTTTTTTAAATGATTTGAGAAGTAAAAACTATATGTTTATGGTGGACATGTTTTGATATATGTATATAGTATGGAATGGCCAAATCAAGCAATTTAACACATGCCATATTTGTTCTGTGGTAGAAACATGTAAAAATCTATTTTCTTAGCAATATTCATAATATAAAATATACTGTTATTGAGTATAGTCATCATTATGTACAACAGATACCTCAAACATCCTCCAAACTAAAATTTTGTGCCCTCTGACCAAAACCTCATGCAGGAAAACTGTTTAGGAGCTGCTCAAGGACTGAAAGATATTGTTCCTGTATGTGTAATCTTGATTTTAGGGTTATCCAAAGGAAGAGGTTTTGCTACATGCACAAGAGTTTGGATATGACCCCATATATACAGTCTAATGGAAACAAATTGGGGACCAGAGGTGATCAAGCAACAGGATCTACTCTCTCAGCCTTCAGTCTGAAAAAGTGCCATAAGGAAACTGTCACACGTGAAAATTTAAAATCAAAACCCTAGTGCTGGGCTGAGAGTGTAGCTTAGTGGTAGAGTATGTGCTTAACAAGCAAAGGCCCTCAGTTCAAGAATCAGCCCCTGGGCTGGAGATTTAGCTCAGTGGTTCCGGTACCTGCCTTGAAAGCACAAGGTCCCAAGTTTGATCCCCATTACCAAAAAAAAAGAATTAGCCCCCCCCCCAAATCTTAATACCTGTATTCAAAATTCATGGAACTAAGTAAAGTATAAAAGAACAAAATAATCCAATTTTCATTTTTTGGGCGATTTATAGCATCTATGTAGATACACAGACACTCAAATGAAGTGCTTTAATGTCCACTTATAAACATAGCAGCATTATGAAGACATCAATTATATGTAAGTGGATATTAAGCTCAAAAGGAATTAGGTGCTTACCTAGCAAGCTCAAGGCCCTGGATTTAATCCCCAGTGAGACACACACACACACACACACACGCGCACACACACACACACACACACATACACCCTGATTAATAAACAGGATTGATATGTTATGGTTGTTCTGATTATTTGACATGCTTAAAACATCTATACATTTGCCAGTGTATAACAAAGGACAAATTGACAGTAAACTCAGTGTTTCAAGTTTGCACTCCTCTGTAAACTGCTTTCCATTAATGTTAATTTTCTTGATGTTTTACTTTATGATTATGTCTAAGACAAATACTTGTTAATACAAAGTTGGTCACTAGTTTCCTATTAATAATAGAAAAAAATTTAGTTACTATTTACCTGAGTAATTTTAAAAGATAGCTGCTTTGGTTGTAAAACAGGGTGGTCCCCAAAAGCTAATGCAGTAGGGGAAGGGCTACTCGGTCGAACCTAAAAAAAAAAAAAGTAAAATTTCTACCTTTGCAAGAAAAAAAAGTTTTCTGCTTAGTGAGATAATACCTGATCACTATATATTCAACAAGCATTCACCGAGTACCTCCTATATAAGGCACAGTGGGAGCTACAATCATAAATTCCCTGCCCACAGAGCTTATATTACAGTTCCCTAAAAGAAATTTTAATGCATTTCATATTGTTAAACACATTAAGGCCAAGTCAATTATTCTGAAACAAAATTATTAAAAATAGATTATGATGGTTTGAAAAGGAAAAATAAACAGCTCTTTATACAGAATTCTCAGAGGTAGAGACAACAATGCATGTCCATGAGTAGTTTGGCACCGATTTATCAGTGAGTTTTATGGTTTACCTAGTCATCAGTTTAAAAATACACTCCTTGAAAGCAGCAGATTACAACAGTGTTTCAATGTTATCACTATATCACTTAAAAGTTACTGTTCAGTCTTCTCATTTTGTACATTCCAATGTATTATGCCCCAAAGGAAAAAGGAATGAAACAAAACTATGCCTACAGACAAGGAGAAGACATAGAAAATAAAAACAGGTTGCTGGAATAAGTAAGGAAAACTCTGGTTTAAAATTTTTCTAACTCATCTTTATTCACTTGGTTTTTGTTCTGAGACAGGACCTTGCTATGTGGTCAAGCTCTTGCTAGAAGGCCAGACTAACCTTGAACTCACTAGTAGTTTTGCCTGGGCCTCCTAAGTTCCTAAATACTAGGATTATAAACATGCCAATTTGGACTTCTCCACTCATCCTTAAATTACTGAAAGTCAACTTTATTTTTCTGATTAGATTCTAAACTTTCACATAATTAAAGTGAGCGAAAATTAAAATCCAATTCATGAAATCTTCAAGAAGCTCATTTTCAAAAATAAAATTCTAATAGCAACAGATCATTCAAAATGATTCAATGTACCACACAGAAATGACTTTTAAAACAAATACTTATTTATATAGAAATTTTCAATAAAATATGAAAGCTATTTGGTGTACATCACCTCCAAAAGACTATGCATGGAAAACTTGAAAGATAAAAACTTACAGATGAGGAAGGAGTGGAATGTGAATGTGAATTTTGAGGAGAACGGATTGCAGGAGGTATGCCTCTTACTGGACTTGAGCCATTTCCACCTTGGTACTGAGAAAAAGAGAAAAGAAACTTATCACTACTTAATGAGGATTAGGTAGTTGTTATTTTAGGCAACACATTAAGAATTAATTTAAACATCTTAAAATAAGATCAAGCATTTATTTAAATAGGTCCAGAAAAAAGCAAAATTAAGGCTACTTACAACCAAGTCCTAAAAGACTACTGATCATAAGAACATGACAATACTACATCTTATAAAGATACTTATTACTTTATATTAACTGTGATTATAATTTGTTGTTGTGGTTGACTCAAAGACAAATTATCCCAAAGCAACGAACTTGTTTTATTTTTCCTCCAAAGTTTAGCATAGTTCTACTATAAATGTTTCTTGAACCAATATAATCCCTAATCCCATAAAATTTTAAGATGTTTACATGAGGATTTTATTCAACATAATCAACTATTTCAAAACAGAATCATCATTCTTAAGCTCTGTTAGAATATCCAAATGGTCATGCTACTACATAGAAGAATTATATAGGACAAGTCCTTTTCTTTAATAGCACAAAATCTTTTCAGTTCTTTCTTACAAAGTGTACAATTAGCTGCATATGAAGAGAAGACAACTAACCTATTCCACAACTACTTTTTCTCCTATCTCGTGTTTCTGGATAGGGTAGCAGAAGAAAACAATCTGTTAATATTGGCTTCTTCTAGGAGTATAGTTTATTGTCTATTTCATTTTTTGTTTACTCACTTAACTGTGATATGAACAGCAGAGATGGGGATTCTTAGTGTGGTCACTAATCGACTTCCAGAAACCTAAGAATTTTCTCATTTATTTTATTCATAGTGCATAGCATAATGCCCAGCATACCAAAGGCATCCAAGAGACATTTGTTTATCGGAACTGATCCTAGCTTTAACAAAGGCTCTTGATAGTAACACTGAGTGGCTGATCTCAACTAAAGGGCATTAGGTAACTTACAGTCAACGAAATATTTTGCCTTAGAATCTGTAAACTCAAAGCAATGGAGGATTTAAAATTTTTTTTTTTTCAAATTCAGCCATTCCCCTACTCAGTCAATTCTCTCACTCCCAAATATAACTATTTTTCAACTGAACAGATCGTAGTTGTTGTTTTAATAATCATATTAATATATTCTAGTAAAATTGGTAGCCCAAAGGGTTTCTATGCAGAAGCAAACACTCCAAATATGCTTAAGAGACTAAATATACATATGAAGACATATTTATTGTTTTTAGGGACTCTAAGATTCATATCTATATCAATTATTTAATCTCCATTCACAGAGGCCAATGTTGCTGTTGTGTGATAAAGCCTGTATCGATACTAAAAGCTGCTAGACTATGTTCTATTCTTTTTCTATTTAAGAGTTTGTCTTTAAGTAGGTTACTTTATAGCTCTGGCCCTCAGTTTCCCTCCTGTAAATGAAACACTAATACCTACTTTGCCTATCTTTTGTGTTGTTATAAGCAACTATTTAAGAAAGTACTTTTAAAATTATGATATGTCATACCAACGTAAAAGTATATTTTTTTGTTGTTCTTTTGAGACAAGGTCTTGCTATTTAATGCTGGCATTGAATTCACTAGCCCAGGATGGTCTGAACCTCATGGCAATCCTCCTGCCTCAGCTAGGACGACAGGCATGTGCCACCATACCTGGTTTAAAAGTAAATTTTGATGTTCTTAGGAAGACAGAGTATAACACTGTACTAAAGCTCTGCTCAAAGGTTGACCTTATGGTTCAAATTATTTTCAGCTCATAGAATTATATTGAATTAGAACTGGAAATAATCCTCAATGAACTTACTTCAAAATAGTCGCTAATTTTGTGTCCACGTCCCCCAATACTTTTTCCTAAAATATAAAAGTAAAAAATTTTATGTATTTAAATTCAGTCATTATCTACCAAATAGTTATCAGAAAGAAAATGTGTTAAACTTGATTTTCTTAATGCATATAAAAAAGAATGGTATTTTAGTAGTGTAATGAAGAGCATCAAAAAGTTAAATTCTTAGAAGATATTAAAAAATCAAATGACATTTAAATAAAAACATGCCAATTTTACAAGTGCCATTACTGTAAAATCAGGTAAATCAATGACATTAGGGGATCTTCTGGACTTTGTTGTTGCTTTGTTTTGGCATGCGGGGGACTGAGCCCAGGACCTTACCCATGCCACACACATGCTCTACCATTGAGATACACCCCCTGCAAAGGGATTCCTGTTTTTAAAACATTGTCAATATGGCTTAATGTCTATTCATCTTTTTTTTTTTTTTTTTTGGTACTGGAGATTGAACTCGGGTCCTTGCGCTTGCAAGGCAGGCGGCGAAACCATTGAGCTAAATCCCCGGCCCAATTCATCTTAAAGAAGTAAGTCAACAAAAAAGAAAAGACAAGTGGCAACTGCATAACTGGCAATTTAATTCATGCTTGGTAAATAAAAATAAAAAAGCTTTAGTTAATACAAACCAAAACATAATCCCTGTCAAACTGAAAGCATACATCAGTATCAATGTTATTTTATAAAATGTGTATGAATTTCTGAAAAGTATTCCCAAATTAATATATGTTTCAATAAATTAGATTTTATGGTCTACACTTATGGCCACAGTGATAAAATGAACTAGGTTATTACCAATCACATTGTTCTTTAAATGTATTGTTCTCAAACAGAGTGTTCATCAGTTTTATAAATACTGAATTAAGAATCTGTTAAGGAAGATGGTTTTTAGAAAAGTTTTTTGGGGGGCAGACATCCATCTTTGACTGGAACTATATAAAATACATGATTTTTTCAAGTTACAATAGAAAGAAGCTAGTATCATAGAGCAAAAGGCTTTGCACAATATAAACAAATATACATCTACCAATTCAATACTGATTTATATTTATGCATTCATTTATTTTAATCAACAAATATTTCTTAAGTGGTTACTATGTGCCAGGCATCATGGAGACAAACAATATATTGAAAAATATAACAAATTTACATTTCTTCTTGGAATAAGACAGAAGAATTGAAAAAAAAAAACAAGTACTCAGGTTATAAATCCTGCTTAGAAATTTTGAACAACAAATTTGTACAAATGTATTTAGATATGAGATAGGGGTTTTATACAAAAGGAACTTCCTGTCTATAATAACTTCCGTGAGGATTCTGAAAAGGTAGTATCTATTAAAGAAGACACAGATGCTTTTGGTTGCCCACCTGGAAGCTCTTTCCCAAATTCTTTTCCCCATGATGAGGCCCAAATTTTATTCCATTATATCCCTCCCTCCTACATAGCACATGTAATTTCAGGGGCTCCTATATAGGCCCTAGTCCCAGTTCCCCTTCCCTCTGTATAAGAAATTCCATTTTGTTCAGGTATCACCTCTTCTCCACACAGCCCATATTTTTAAGGGGACTTTTATCTCATTTTCAGTTTCAGAAGCAGGCTTGATTTTCCTAGACATATTACCTACGTTGGATATTACTAGTTTTGGAATGGTAAACAAGTAATCTGGACAGTAAGGTGACAAGGCAGCTTTGGTCTGTTTTTGAAGTTTGCTCCAAAGAAGAGGGAGGTGGGCAGGGAAGATGAGACACAGAAAGCCGGCCTCTCTCTAAAGCAAATATCAAATGCCAGGTGCAGTGGTGCAAACCTATAACCCCAGCTACATAGGAGGCTACGGTCAGATGATTACAAGTTCAAGGCCTGCATAAGCAACACAGCAGACCTCATTTCAAAACAAACAAAACAAAAATGAAACAAAGAAACAAGAAAGAAAGAAAGAAAGAAAGAAAGAAAGAAAGAAAGAAAGAAAGAAAGAAAAAAGACCAAAAACCAAAACTAAAACAAAAAAAGTAAAGCAAATAAGTGAAAACAAGTAAATTCAACTTAAGCAACCATCTTAAAATCAGTAGAAAATCAGACAATTCTATTGATTGTAGACCACATATGAAGAAAAAACTATGGGTTCTTAAAGATACATTGCCTCTATCAACCCAGAAGCTTCACTCTAGTTGGAGGCATCCTTTTGAGTTTTTAAAAAGCTGCTCTTGAAATGATTGTGATTAATGTATATTTAAGTCCACTAACCACAACCTGAGGAAAATAATGAGCTCACTGCTAATACTCAATGTATTAGAACATAGAGAAAAGGCCCTTAACTCCTTTCTTCCACAAATATAGTTGCTGCAAATATATTCCTTGATTCTAGGGCCATATATAAACAGGTAAACAATGGCAGACCTTATGGGTTTGGGTACAAAACATGTAATGTCATATATAAAATCATTATTATGCATGATTTAAGATTCTTATTTATATTTAATGTTGAGGTCCCAAATAGAGTGATAATTTGCTGTCCATTACAAGAGATTCTGTAGCCTAGTAAAAATGATTTTCTTAGCTCCTATCACAGAAGATCAGTGTGCAAGAAATGATGAAAAAAAAGTATGACGAGAAAAAGATGCTGAAATTAATCTTTAGTTACTTTTGAGAATTTTTTGTTTGTTTGGAATAGGGTGTTGGTATGTAGCCCAGGCTAATCTCAAACTCATGGTGAACCTCCTGACTCAGTCTAAAGAGCTGGGATTACAGGGGTGCACCACCATGCCCAACCCTGATTACTTCCATGTGTAGTTTAAATAAATAAATAAACATATAAAAATGGGAGGGGTAAGTGTGGGTACTTGTTTTAAAATGAGATTTAAAGTTTTTATTTAAAAATAAGAAACCATTTTGGTATCATAGATCACATATAGAGAGGAAAATGAAAGGTAACAAAGTAATGCTTACCAGATTTGGAAACAATACTTGTCTTTCTAGGATACATTTTTTTTGGTACTGGACATCAAACTCAGGACCTTGAGCTTGTGAGGCAGGCGGCGGCACCACTGAGCTAAATCCTGGGTCTAGGATCCAATTTTAAAATGGGGAGGGGGGCAAAAAGCCCAAAGACAGTAACCATACACTATCTAAATATGGTACAGAAAGATTAAAGTTTCCTATTATTTCTTATGCAAAGTTCAGTCTTGAACTATTATAAACACAGAAATTACAAAATACCTATGGAATTCACAAAAAACCTAAGAAATCACTTATTTAACAACTAGAATACTAATGGGTTAAAAATCAGAATAATAATTACAAATGCCTACTGGGCTCTGAAAGAAGGTGTTGCTTTGCTTACCCTGACTACTTTCATTCTGGTTTTCTGCTTTTCTCTTTCTTCCCCTGGATGATTCTGATTGTTTCTTCTCTGGTGTCTACAAAAAATAAGTTAACATAATTTTAAATTATAGTTTTAGCATATAAAATTATTGCTGTCAATAGAAATCACTTCTATTTTCAAGGCCAAATAAAGTGTTCAATCGCACTTATGGGATGCAAATGTAGTTCTTGACATACAATTTATTTAAAAAATAAAACTTTCTATTCTATAAATTTTTTAACTTTCAAGCATAGAAGACTTTGAAATACACATTCAGAGAATCTGACTTGAGGCGGATAAGAAATCTGAGTGTAATTAGACCTGCAAGATGCCTTACAAAGTCTTACCCAGAAAGAGGGGGGGATCATTTTCTAGAACTCACACAAATTTTATCTATAAAAGAAAATTGGATTTAAAAGGAGGAGGGCAAGATACAAACTCTGACATTCAATCCCTACTGAAAAGGACCAACCATTCACCTAAAACACATGGCAATTATTACCTAACACAATTATAGTAAATTCAGATTATATCTTAAATCAGAATTCAGCAAAGTATGGCCTGTAAGCCTACTCTATTTGGCCACCTATTCTTGTACAGTCTATGATTTAAGCCTAACTTTTGTATTTTTAAGTGACTGAATTTTTTAAGGTTTTAAATCAAGAAAAATATTTTGTGATGAAGACTTGTGTTATGTGAAAATTATAAATTCAAAGGTCAGTGTCCATAATAAAGATTATTATTAAGCCACCCTATTCATTTATGTATTACTTATGGCTGCTTTCACATTACAACACCAGAGTTAAATAGCTGCAACAGAGATAGTACAGTCTATAAATTTTGAAATATGTACCTTTTAGAGAAAAGTGTGTAGACCCCTGCTCTAGACTGTAGCTCTGTTCCAATTTGAAGGTTTTTTTCTTTGAACAGATAGCAAGTACTTTCATTAGGCTAATATGACAAGTAATTTTTGTGGGGTGGTAAACTGTTTTGCTTACAGAAATTAAAGCCTAGGGCAAAAGCCCAAGTCAATGGCTCTAGGCCCTCAAATTCTAAAAACCTGTTAAGTAGCTCTGGGAGCAGAACAGTTCCTGACCTTAATATGACCTAATTTCATTCCTGAATGACTCATATTAGGCAGTTTAAAGTAAATATTTTAAGGCACTGAGTAATCCTATGATTAAACAGCATGAATTCTAATTCTTACTGAGCATATATTGTTTCCCCAAGTATCATCTTGGGTGTCAACAAGATACTAGATTCAGAGAGGTTGTGCTACATGTTATTATCATTGAATTCTTAAAAGAAAAGCAATATATCTTTTCTGCACCTCATCCTTCTGTCCTGTACTTATCATAAAGGTCTTACTTGATAAATATCTGAATAAATATTAAGTAATGTACTCAATGTTTTCACTACTAGTGCGGCACAAATAGGCTTACAATAAAATCTAATTCTGTGTAATCTAAGGCATAAGTGTTTTTAAAAGTTTTTTCTATGTGACATGTTATACATCCTACAACAAAAACTAATTAAATGGATCAACTATACAAAGACATTTAAAAATGTTATTGTTTATAATTGGAATTCAATATGCCCAATAAATTACCTATATATTTTCATTTTATAAACTAGAGGGTTTTTTTTTTTAATACTGGGGATCAAACTGAGGACCTTGAGCTTGTGAGCCAGGTGCCAGAACCACTGAGCTAAATCCCCGGCCCCATAAACCAGAGGTTTTAAGGTTTTAAGGAAAACCAACCTAACTGTCAATCTACTTGGGAGGGGGACTAATGTACCAACAATTTAGGATATATAGATTTTCAGCTTAGTTCACTGTCAAAACCAGCAAACTCAAACAGTAAACAATCTTCTACTGTCCTAGAAATAAAAATATTACCAAATTTAAAAATCTAAGTTAACATTTCATAAAAACTCTAAGTCTATATTAAAAGGAAGTATTATATCATTCCTAATTTAATCTATATAAAAACATGTAATTTAAGGCCAAGAAAATAATTATAGTTAATGTTATACCAATTTTTAAATACCTCAGGATGTTATTTGAATTCTATCTTAAATCTTGGCTAGTTACTTTTAAATAACAACAAAAAATCAGAAATTATTATGACTCTGAAATAATTATGCTAGAAATATCATTTTTTGGTTAGAAAACTAAATTATGCATAATGTGGTAAACAGTTTTGTATAAGATATACTTAAATTAGCCCATAAAGCTAATTTCTCCATGATATGGAGAACTTTTGACCATCCCATAAACCTTAATCTTTTTCATCCATGTCCTAATATACTTTTCAATGTTAACTTTTCACTTTGTTCTCACTTCATAGACATAGAGTGGTTCTATCAGTGAAAAAGTATAATAGTGCCTCTGAAGAAAAAAAGATAATGAATGGAACTCTGGATCCATAACTCATCATAATCTTGCCCTGTTGTTTAACCCAAGAATCAATTTTCTAATCAGAGTGAAATGTGATAATATAGGTACAGTAAGACTGTGCAGATTAAATGAAAAACATATTTACACAATGTACACAGATATCTGGGCACTCGATAATGTCACTATGCACTCAATTCTCTTATGTGATCAGCTATCCTATCACTTCAAATATCCATACACTTTATGTTTTAAAACTTTAATTATGTAACATATGAAAGGGATTAGCAGCTTCTGTCCTAATAGCTTACAAATAATTTGTAGGACTTACAAAATAGGTAACATTTTGATCTTTAAGGTCTTACTTGACTGCAAGACTGCAAGCCATTAAACCTCCAATCTAGGCCAGCATCAACTCTCAAGCAAATGTGCCTTGAATAGATTCTGGTTTTGGATTTAAATAATATGAGCAGGACCTATACTAAATGAAACAAAAACCCTCAATGAAGCCTGCTACTACAAATTTTCCCAAGTCACTCATTTGTATATGGACTATTTGGAAATTTAGAATTTGATGGAGAAATATGCAGACATATATCAAATATTTAGTTTCTAAAATACCTCACTGCTGACAAACAAAAGTTCACAACAATATCTGCAACCTGCAATTTTCAAAATGTATTCCGGAGATGCCTTATGGGAGAAGAGTTATTAAAGAGGAGGGATAAAGAAGAAAGGAGCAAGTAGCTGAAGTAAAGCTTTAGCCTACCTAAAACATATCCTATGTCGACTCCACTCCTCATCCTTGCAAACTTGGCATCTCTTATTTTAATATATGTGATTCTGAATGAGACTCCCTTTGAAGAAAAAGTTTGTAGCTTAACAGGGTTTGAAAAACTGATCACAATCAATGAGTTCGTTAAAGATATCCAAAGGATGTCAATCTCACCACACATGTATTCACATAAAGTATAAAATTTGCACATATCAAGTATTTTATATAGAATATTTTCAAGATTATTGTTTTTGCTAATAATGCTGCCATTTCTTTCTTTCCTTCACTATTTTTCTCAAGTAATTCATTATAATTGATCTCAATAATGAAGGATTAAATTGAAGGGAAATAATAGGATTTAGCTTTAAAAAGATGGCAAGAATACAATAATTTAAAAAGCCAAAGAATTCCAATATACAGTGAAATAATATTCCAATGTACAGTATGTCAGTGGAATAGTGCTTAGGAGAAAATGAAAAAAGGAGAGATTGATACTCCTAATCAATTTAACTTTGTAAATGTCAGATTTTTAATCATATCAAAACCAGAATGACTACTCTGGCATTTACATGTTCCAAGATATTAGTGTGAACTGACACAGTATTTTCTGGCAGTTCAAAGTTTGTTCAAAAAAACAAAGACAATTTGAAAATATTCAAGAAGTGGTAGTGATTCAGTTAATGGTACAATTTCATTTGGAACTTGGTCAGTGATTGTTAAAGTTTTTATATTTAGTCATATGGCTTCTTGGTTTATGTTAAAGCAAAAATAAATTATCTTTCATCAATGCAAGTAAGACTAAGAAAACAAGAGTTGTGACACTGCCACAGAATAGGGAACATAATATGAACTATTCCTATGTAGTCCTCAAACTAGAGAAATATTTAAAATTATCAACGTAAATGTATTATAGAAAATGGTATGTAAAAAGACATTACATCAATGAAAATGGAGAGAGTGGATACAACAGTGTATTCTTCATTATGTGGTAGCTATTGGAGTTCATCAGGCCTCACTAAACAGACAAAAACAAA